GGGAGCTGTGGGTCACCAAACAGTTCTGAGCTCAACCACCAGGCCCAGTTCTAGTTTCAAGCACAGATGACTATAAAAACTTGGGCGAGGATCTAGCTCTTCCATACTTCACCCAATAATACATTCTTTGATCACTGTCTCTGTTCCTGTTTGAGAGATTTCCTCCCTTTTTGTAACTCCAGAGGACAAATAGCTGCCGACACTCCAATAAAACTCAACAGAAGTATAATTTTGTTGTTCCAGACAACGTTTCACATAAAAACTGGGCTTAATGGACTCTACATTTAAGGCCAGTTTTTGGCTGAAACATGTCAGTGGATGGGGTTCCAGGCAGGGACTTTGTGTCCGCTTGTCTGGAACAATAAAGTTACACCTTTGTTGGAGTGCCGCAGCCTTTTTCTCCTTTCGCTTTACGGGCGATTGGGGCACAGGATGAGCCTTTGCTTTGCTGTTGGTACCTAGTCAGCCAAGAGACAGTGTAATGGGCTTGTGAGTGTCAACCATTTATTTATTTCTCACTTTTGTCTGTGTGAATACTGGGATCCCTTCACTTCCTGTCCCTGGATACAACAGGAAATGAGAAGAAATCTCTGAAAAGTGATCTTAGACAGATGTCACTGGAATAAGTGTCCACAGTGAAGTATTTTCCCTTTACCCCTGTCCCGGTGACAACTGTAAAGTTGAGGATTTCTAGGGGAGCTTCTGATGTAAAGAGAGGAGCTTTCATGTGAAAGGGGGCTTCTAGTGTTATGGGGCGGGGGGGACTCTGATGTGAAAGGAGGGAGCTCTAATTTTATGGGGATCCTGATTTGAAGGTGGGGACTCTGATGTTAAAGGGGAATGCCATTGTTTGTGTGTTTTTTGCTTGGGCTTCCCCTTAAAATCCATACCAGACCCCTATAAGGGGGTGAGGGTCTGGTATGAAATTTGGAGGGACCACACATTGTGTTTTACATTTACGTTTTATACATATTAGACTGGGGTGCCACAGGATTTTACATACTTTTAAAGGCTGCCATGACTGAGAAAAGTTTGAGAAACGCTGGATTGGTGTCTTCCAATGAAGAATGCAGCTTTTGTATCTCTCGGGAAATGCTTGTAAACCAGTCAGCTTTGCAGCCCCTCGGTGTTCCATAAGACTGAACTGAGTAATCCGTTGGTCAGCCGCACCCCATGGTTACAAGGTGCAGGTGTAGCTGTGGGCTTAATTATACCTGCCACACCGCTGCTGATCACACGCCATTTATTTAGGACACGTGTCCATCCATCCTCTGGCGTGCAGTGTGCGCAATTCTGAATGGCACTAAAATGTCAGCTTTACCCCCCAGAAACCAAAACTGACCACTCCTACATTTCACTCCTACATTCTAAAATGATCTCAGGCTTTATAAAGGATTCTTTACAGTTTTCTCTGATTATGGTGTTATGTGTGCAGGAAAAACATGATCATTTGTATTATAATACCAGATTTATAAAGAGCCAACAGTTTGTTCGGCACTTTATAATATAAAGGGAGAGAGTACAGCTACAATACAAAGCAAGACAAGAGAGTTACGCTGGCCGTAGACCAGTAGAATTTCACTTTAGGGCCTCGTCACACCATATCCAGTGCGTCCCGGTGTGGTATCGAGCCCGGAACGCACTGGATTGCATAAATCAAGCCGGGCCGCATTCTGGGGCCGGAGGAGTCGCATCGGTGCCATTCATATTAAGGGCACCGTAGACACGCCTCCCGCAGTGGCGATCGCCTGCAAATGCGAAGTGCAGGAATGCCCTCATTTCCGGTACAGTGCGATTGGGAAATATGCTGCCTATAGGAGGCATTCCTGTACCTCGTGTTCCGGTGCGGGCGATCACACTGTGTGCGGGGGGGGGGTGCCCCCTCCCGCCCCAGAACACGGCCTCACTTGATCTACGCGATCCAGTGCTCATCAAGCATTTTAAAAGCCTTCAAAACTTTTTGACTTTAATATCACTTTAAATGAAACATACAGAATACTCCCAATGTGATCCTTTAATTTCCTACTAATGAATCTCTATGTAACATCAGATCTCCCATGCAGAGTACCCCTGCTCAGGCTTCCCTAACCTACCCGCAGCCTTCAGAACCTTAGTGATTTTGT